ATAACTGAAAAATGGGTGAAGGGAGGAAGATGATGTAAGATATGGAAAAAATAATCTAACTTATCAAGGATTCATGAGGGAATTTGGGCAGGGCAGGGAGGGTGAAGAAATGGGGAGCTGATATCAGGGGCTCCAGTAGGAAGAGAATGCTTTGAAAATTATGATGGCGGCATATGTGCAAATGTGCTTGGCACGTTGGAGGAATATGGATTGTGATAAGAGATGGAAGAGCCCCCAATAAAAGTATTTTTTTGAAAAAGTCAAGGAAAGTTTTCACACTAAAAAAGTACTTAGTTACCAGGGATTGCAAGGCAATAACTAATTAACTTGAGTGAAGGAATAAAGGAAAAATAAGGAGAAAGAAAGGTGTGATCCTGTTAAAGAAACAAAAATGATTTGTGTGTCCCCATAATGCTAAAGAATTCCTGGACCTTATACCCTGGTCCTTTGAGGAATTGGGGTTTTTTTTATGTTAATGAGGTCATACCAGAGTAGGGTGGGTTAAGTTTCTGACTTGGAAAAAAAGACAGACACACAGAAACGGGGAGGCCATGCTATATTAAGATAGTCTACAAGCCAAAGGACATCAACAAGCCAAGAATGCTGGGGTTAAGGACAAGAGAAAATGTGGCATGAATAAAACCTAAGAATTTTACTTTTAAACCAAGAAGACACAGTCAAAAAATTTCGTTCTCTAAAGCCAAAAGTAAAAGCTATTATTGAGTCCATGTCGGTCCTACTTGAAATCTCGTATTTTCTTAACCCCTTTAACAATAAGCTGTTTCTTCCCTCTGGTAGGCAAGTTCCAGTGATGTATAGGCAACAACCAGTCTGCATCTGTGGTAGAGGATGCCTAAAACCTATCCAAAACAGCCCGAACCACACAGAGGCATAACCCCAACTGAAGGCCCTCTGCATGTTTTACTATGTAAAACACCTTTTACTCGTTTGTAATTAAAAGATCACTGCATTTCATTGAGGCTTGGATCTTTCTAACACACTGCAGAAAGCAGCCTTCGATCATGTCCCACCATCACTGAGCTAGCTACACTTAAGCTAGCCTGAGAAAAGTGAGGCAAGGGAATGTCAAACCATTGGTGGGTTTTGCTATTTGTCTTCTATGAAACATGTATTCACTGAAGTCCAATAATGGAGCAACCAGAGTCTCACCCAAGGAAGTCCCTTATATGCCTTCTTCAGATGTCAGAATCTAAAAGCAACAAAAGCCAACAACCAGCTGCCATTGTTTTCCTAAAATCTCCATCGAACTATGTATTCACTTGTGTGAACACCAAAGCCTAAGCACCAGAGGCAGAGAAGTATGAGCACCTGTCTGTTGATGAGATATAGCACGGATGTTCCCTTAAAAACAAGAATTGGGAGACAGACTCCCTGGAAAGGGACATGCTTCGAAAAGTAGAAATTAGTGGGGGGCGGGGGGAGCAAAAACCTTCAATGAGATAGAGGGAGAACGTAACTCCCATCATGGGTTCAAATCCAGCAACAATTGTTGAGGATAGAGCAGGACCAAGTAGTGTATTTCATTCCACGACTCAAGAACATCAACAGTGGAGCACTGGTGGTGCAGTGGTTGCCATCTGTGGATCTGTGGGAGCAAAGACCTGGCTATATGCTCCTATCAGATCACAGCCAAGGAAATCCAATGGGGCAGGTTCTACTCTGCCCACAGGCTGCTGAGTTACAACTGACTTGTCAGCCCACAGAATCAACAAGAATAAAGAGCACAAAAGACCAGGCCAGAGCCAGAAAGCTGCTATCAAGAACTAAAAAAGGCACCAAAACATTGCTCTGCCTAGAACACAGTGCTTTAAAATAGTCCAATTATAAATAACACAAAAAATGGACCTCGGTTAAAAAATAATGAAGCAGAAAGAACAGCCTTGCTAATTCACAATTCAGTAGCTAATGAGTTTGAAACACTTGCAGTTCAATGCTTAGTTGACAGCACCATCAGGGCTCCCTAACCATAAAGTCATTGCTATCAACTCATAGGACACCCCCTATAATAGGTTTCCCAGGACTATTTGTAACTGTTTACAGGAGTAGAAATCCCAGCCTTTATCCTGTAAAGTACTTAAGAGTGGTTGTCATTCATAGGCTTTCAAATGGGAATTACTGAGACATAACATTGTGCCAGGAGGCTAATGTGATAAGAAGCAACAGAGACCAATACAGAATAAAGAAACATGTTTTATAGTGTTACAAAAATGTTTGCCCAGAAAAGTCTAACCTATAGGTAAAGCTTGAAAATTAATTAGATCCAGAACATGGCTCACTTTACTCCTCTCCCTCCACCTCTGCCTCTGCCTCTGTGCTTAAGGTCACTATCCACCAGGTGGCAACCTTAAGTGTCTCTTTCCATCAGACTGTTTCTGCAGGTTATCTCTGTGTCAGTGTCAGTAATCACTGATCCATGTTAGTCCGCCTTTCCCGTGAATCATCACTTTTGGTCCCTCAAATTAAAGCACTAATTTAGATTTAGAGGTGAAATGGATCTTAGAGAACTAGTCCGAACTACTCTTCTACCAGAGGAAAAGTCACATGCAGTAAGGAAGAAATGTCCACCAAAGTCAATTAATCAAAGCAGCCTGTGCCCTTCTCTGTGCATTTGACCACAATTGCCTGTCCTTGAGTTTCATTGAGCTTGAAATGGTTTCTATATACCCAGCATTACCTGCGTCTCAGTAGCCAACTCCCTAAAAAATAACCAAAAGCCAGTTCTAGCAGCAGCTTCACTCAGGGGGGGTGGGGGTGGGGGTGGGGGGTGGTGAAGCCCACACACTGTCAAAGACAAAAATCACAAGGGCCAGACTTACAAAAACAATACCTTTAATCCTGACACTTTCAAGGACTTGAGATTTCATTTGAAACCCTCTAATCCTCCCCTACTTTTCTTTTAATATTTATGTAAACTTGATATAACTGGCTCTACAAATGCAGTCATTACTTGGAGCAACACAATGTATTTGTGAATATTTTTTTAAAAAGTTTGAACATGATATGAGAATTATGTCCCAATAAAACTACTTTAGAAAACAAGATAGACATCGGACAAGGCAAGAGATGACAAAATAATAATTTATAAATTATCAAGGGTTTATGAGGGAGGGGAAAAAAATGAGCTGATGCCAGGGGCTTAGGTGGAGAGAAAATGTTTTGAGAATGATGTGGGCAATGAATGTACAAATGAGCTTTACACAACTGATTTATGTATGGATTATGATGAGTTGTATGAGCTAACGATATAAAAAATACAAGATAAAAGGTTTAAGAAATGTCATTTATCTTGTTCCCATTTTTATTTTCCAAATCTCTAAACAAAACAAGAAACCCCACTGCCATTAACTGAATTTCAACAAAGAGTAACTAACTCTACAGGGCAAAGTAGAGCTGCTCTTTAGGTCTTCTGCACTGTAAACTGGTATGGGAGCAAACAATCTAATTTCTTCCAAAAAGCAGCTGTGGCTGCTGAGTGTGGAACCACCAGTCTTATAATTTGCAGCTTAATGTTTATTCCACAGCACCACCAACGTGCATTAAATTTTAAAACGGAATGTATACACCTTTATATATATCATTAATACTTTTACTGGGGGCTCTTACATCTCATCACAATCCATATTCCTCCAACGTGTCAAGCACATTTGCACATATGGCACCATCATTTTCAAAGCATTCTCTTCCCACTTGAGCCCGATAACAGCTACCCATTTCTACCAGCCTCCCTCCCACCCTCCCTCCCTCACGAAACCTTGACAATAGATTATTTTTCTATAACCTTTATAATTTTATAAACAAATATGCGCTAGAGGGTAAGCTCTACTAAAAAACACTGGTCAAAATGGCTGCTTCAAATCTCGATGTTTCTCAACTCCTTGTTTTGCTCTCGGGTACCTAGGAGATCCTTCCACATGCCAACAGCATGAGTGAGTCTTAAGTGAACAGGACAGGGGGAGGATTATTTACTTGGTACAAAAGTCTTTACATTCTCTTCTCTAAGCTTTCCCATTATCCAAACCTCCTTCAGCCCACAGTAATAGAGATTTTGTCTTCTTGTTTTTGGAGACCTATGACAAGCTTTGTTCTTACCCCCTTATCCATCTCCATCACCATTCTGGTATGTAGACTCACCTTCTCCATGTTTATCCGTGAACTGGAAGGCCTGAACCAGTCTCAGGGTCTCATCCACAGAGCGGCCAACAGGGAGGTCATTTACAGTGATCTGCCTAAGGATTCCTTTATCATCAATGATGAAGAGGCCCCT